AGAGCAATTCAAAAGCAAAACTGGGGTCAGACCAAGGACTTCTGCCTTCCAGACTGGGGAGGGGGGGCTTTCTTTCTGAGTTCCTCAGAAAAAGAAAACAACCCCAGAGGGGACTAGGGGGTGCTCTATTCACTGAATCAGTTAGGATGCAAGGAAGAGACAGTCGACCTCAGAGAGGCTTAACTCTTTTCTTTTTCTTGGTACTGGGGATCCAACTTGGGTCCTTGTGCTTTCAAGGCAGGCGGCAGAACCACTGAGCTAAATCCCCGGCCCAACTCTTTTTTTTTTTTTTAACAAGGAATCTAAAAATGGTACCGGGGTTGGCCTGGGGATTCAACAGTGTGAATCTGATGACCTAGGCTTTCCCTCTTCTAGGCTCTGGGGGACTCCTTGTGATGGCAAGATGGCTGATATAGCATGAAGTGCGATGTCCTGCCAAGCAGGAAGGAAAGGTATGGTAGTAAAAAGGGGTCTAATCCCCTTAGCTATTCTCTCATCCAGGAGGAAAGCTTTCCCAAGGAGACTGTTATGTTCTCATACATCTCAGTAGCCAAATGAGTCACATGCCTATCCTTAGACCACTCACTGGCAAAGGGATAGGCATTCCAATGCTGGCTTGGATCATCCCTGGGCTGGGCATCTTACTATTGGAATAGGGAAGAGGAGATTGACTGTGGGAAGGTAACCAATAATTCCTGCCATACTCACCTGTATTCTCTATGGATTGCCCTCCCCTCTCCTTGTTACTTCTGCCTGGAAGTTTTCCTTGGTTGCCATTCTGTTGTTTAGCACACCCTCTTTACCATGAAATTGAACATTGCCTCATTTGAGCTGCATTCTTCTTGGCCAAGCTTTCTCATTTTTTCGTGTTCACATTTTGTCTTCCCTTTAAGACTTTGACCATTTTGAAAGTTATAGCAGCTACTAGTGAATAAATACCTACTGTGTGCTAGGCACTGTTCTGGATGTTTGTGAGAGTCAGCTTCTAAATGGCTCCCAGTGATTCACACTGCCCTAATATTCATACACTTTTGCATTTACTTCCACATAATACCAAGATTAGTCTGTTTGACTAATTGCATATGGCAAAAATTACAGTGTGTCATTCCAAGATTAGATTGTAAAAGACATCATGGCATCCATCTTGGTAGCATATATCCTTTCTTGGGTCATTCATTCTAGGGGAAGGGAGCTGGCAGTGATGAGCAGCCTTATGGAGAGGCAATGTGAAAAGGAAGAGAAGCCTTTGGCCATCTGCCAACAAGGAACTGAATGAACTTGGAAGTGGGTTCTCCAGCCACAGCTTAGTCTTCTGATGCTGGCAACACTGGTTGGTACTTGATTGCGTTCTCAGTAGAGATCCTGAGCCAGCACCTCCCAGTTAACCCACTGGTGAGTTCTTGAGCCTCAAAAATTGTGTGAGATGATAAAAGCTTGTTGTTTTAAGTCGCTAAATTTTAGAATAATTTGTTCCTTGACAATAGATAATTACTATAGAGTGCTACACTATCATATCGAGTCCTTGCAACACTTCTGATGGTTGGAGACTGTTTCCCCCTTTTACAGATGAGAAAACCAAGACTCAGCTGTGTAAGGTGACTTTCCACACCTGGGATGTGGAAGAGCTGCGATTTGCCCTCCTGCTTCTGGGATTCCAAAGCAAAGGGCACCTGGTTCTGTTTTCTCAGCTGGGATAGCCTCAGTTCCAACATGAAAAAATGGGGCCATGAAAAAGAAATCTCTTTCTCTGTTGCATTTTTCTTTGTCCCTTAAAAAAATTTCAGTCAGATTATCCAGCATCTACTACATCTGTTGTGTATGGGACTCAGGGACAAATAGGCTTATGAGAAACAACATGGTGATTTGAAGAAGGGATATGTAGGCTCTTGAGTGACATTGGACAAGTTCTCATGCTTTCTAGACCTCAGTTTCTTTATCCACTATATGGGAAGAACATGGAGAGTTTTGTCTGAGGAAGCAGCATCTTGCCTAGGGCTCCCAGCCTCACACAGCTCCCTCTGTACATGTGGGGAGGGTGCCCTTGCTACTTCCCTTGGTTCTGCCTTAGGGGACGGAGGACACTGAGCATCACTGAAGGCCCAAAGCTACCCCTTCAGCCTCACCCTCACCATGTCCTGCCTCTGGAGCCATACTGCAGCTCCACCGAGCTAATGGAAATTTCCTCAGCCTGCCAAGAGCTTTCTGTGTACTGAGCCTTTATCTCTGCAGTTTCTTCAGCCTGGACACCTTTCCAAACTTCTCCACCAGGTGCGTTCCTACTACTCATCTTTCAAGACTCAGATGAGATGCCCCACTTGTAGGATGCCACTCCTGACCTGGTCCAAGGCCTCCTACTTCTCTTGATTATTGCTCCTGCCTCCTGCCTGAGCTCCTGGCCTCTAGCTTCTCTCTTCCACTCAAAACCCCCATGGAGCAGCCACCTGCCTTTCTAAAACACAAATCTTGTCATGTCACTCCCTGCTTCAAATAACTAGTCAATGGAATAATCCATTAATCAATGCTTCAAGGGCTCCTCTTTGCCCTCAGGAAGGCATCCAAAGCCTTCAGCTGGAACTCAAGGCTTGGTCCGCTCTGTCTCTCCTGACTGTCCTGCCCACACGGTACACTGCTCTGGTCATCATGTCTCCGACACCCTGTGCTACCTTTGCTCATCCTGTTCTTTCCCTTGCCTGGTACCCTCTTCTCTACCTGGGAACCCCTACCTAATCTTTAGGGTCAAGTCTGCTATTTTCTATTTTCCCTGCTAGGAACCCTTTTCAGCTGGGCCCAGGAAGAGCCCATGGTTTCTTTTTGTTCCCTTTCCTAGGTGACTACGTGTGTGTGTGTGTGTGTGTGTGCGTGTACTACTTGTCAGTGCGTCTCTTACATGAGGAGTCTTCTGAGAGCAGGCTGTCTGACGCATGGCTGTGTCCCCAGAGGTGTCAGCACTGGGCACAGAGCAGACATGTAGGATATACTGGCTGGTTGAGTGGGTGAAAGAATAAACGAGTGGGAAATGAATCCATCTTTGAATCATCACTTCTCACCTAGCCCTGGAACTGGTTTTTCCTGGGGCAAGCCCATTTTATAGCCAAGGGGGAAGCAGAAGGAAGGGATTGGTCTGGAAGGGAGAAAGAAAATCAACAAAAATGTAAATCTGGTGGAGAAAAGCTGTCCCAAGCTGGCTGTAGGGAGAGGTAAGACTGGGCTAGCTGAGTCCTGGCTGACAGTGGAGGAGAGATTAGGGGACAATGGGGCTGTGACCAGGGCAAGGAAAGGCGCTGTGCTTCCCACTTCTGTCTTCCCTGCCTCTTCCCATGCCCTGCTCCATGTGCTCATTAAATTCCTTCAGAGAAGGGCCGGGGATTTAGCTCAGTGGTTTCGCTGCCTGCTGCGCAAGCAAAAGGACCCGAGTTCGATCCCCAGTACCGAAAAAAAAAATTCCTTAAGAAACAGGAGAAGGGAAGCAAACTTACAGATGGTCCTGATCATCAGGTGCTGCTCTGTGAGAGAGAGAGTCTTATCTGTCTGCACAACTTGTGGGTGACAGGAGACAGGCCTGATCAGCCTTGAGTTAGAGGTGAAGAAACTGAGTGCACACAGCAGTCAGTAGCAAACTCAAGGTCTGGACGCAAATCTATCTCCATGGCTCTGATCTTTTCCCTCCATGGAGGGTTTTTGCCCTGATATCATGGACTCTTGGGCAATCTACACCTGGGGTTCAGAGTCCTTGACTTCTAAAATTGCATGCACAGTTGTGTGCATTTGTGTATGTGTGGTCTTTTAAATTAAAACTTTAAATGGAGAGTCTATGTCTCTAATCAGATTTCCAGTGGTGGCTGTCACCTGACCTCCACTGCCTATCCCCTGACCTCCACTGCCTATCCCAGGCGATGCCAATTGTGGCTCCTGGCTCCTGGTTTCCGAGGGGACTCTGCCTGCCATGCAACTTCCCAGCATGTGTTACAAGCACCAGAAACCCAGGCAAAGCATCAGGATGTCAGTAGTTGTTGCAGTCCTGTCCACTGCTGGGCTTCACCACCACTACAACTGAGCAGGGAAACTTAACACTGTCTCCGCCCACCTCCCTGGGGCGGAAGGTGAAGACGGCAAGCTCACAGATACAAATTCTGTAGGCCCTTCATTGAGCAGAGATCAGAAAATTCTTTTAATCATCATGGAAGAAAAAGGTTTTTTTTTTAAAACCCTAACTGCAGCAATTAATAAAAATATTTATTATCTTGGGTTGTGTGATGTATTTGTTTTTCTTTTTCTGCTTCTAGGTAAATATTCACTTTCTCACCTAATTTTGTACAGGTTGAACATCCTTGATCAGGAAGTTAAAATCTCAAATGTTCCAAACTTTGAAACTTTCTGAGTACCAACATAATGCTACCAGTGGAAAATTCCATACATGATCTCACATGATGGACTTTTGTCAAAACACAAGCACACTAAAAATATTGTGTAAAATTACCTTCAGTGCATATGTATAGGGTTCATATGAAACATAAGCGAATTTTGTGTTAGATTAGGGCCCTGTCCCTAACGTATCTCATGCTATATGCATATCTTCCAAAATCTAGAAAAAACCCAAAAAAACCAAAAATCCAAAGCACTTCTGATCTCAGCATTTTGGATAAGGTATACTCAACCTGTATTCTTTTTCTTAAAGAGGTCTTCCTCAAATTGTATTAGCTTAGGTTCCCACAAGATCTGGACTCAATCTTGGCTCCATTATTTATTTTCTGTGTGGTCTTAAGCAAGTCACTTATCCTTTCTGAGCTGATTTCCTCTTCTATAAAATGTAAATGACAATTTGGAAAGGTGAGGACCTAGCCTTATGACCTTCTTCCATTTTTGAAACCATGACTCAAGGAAGTAACCCAGCCAAATGAAAATTAGACCAGAATATAAAGTGAGGGAAGGATGCAATATACCAGAAATAATGGTGAACAATGAACCCAGTAAAATTTAAATCTAAATAACTGGAAATAATGTGGTTGGTGCAAACCTCTAATGCAGTTTATAAGAAGGGATTTTTGTAATAGAAGAGACATTATACAAGAACAAATTTAATAATAAGCTGTATCTATAATTCCAAATTATATCTGCAAAACCTGGGCAACAAGGGGAAGGAGAAGGACTATAAACCTACTTAAGCCTCATGTTGTTGGAGGAGACTTTGAAATTCCTGGCATTGATAAATACGGGCTCAGATATTTGCCAAACATTTATAGTTAAGCAGTAGAATAAAATAGGAATTAGACCTTCTCTACCTCCTTTGTCATCTTTCACATGGGAAAGCCCCAGAGTTCTGGCACTGGGAGCTGCCCAGAGGCCAAGAGCCATGAGTGCCCTCACCCAGCAGTAGCTCTCAATGTGCTGTCTCCCAAGATACAAGCTCCAGCCAGGGTGTACAAGTAGCAGCAGATGGGACTGAGAGCAATTGCGAGACACTCTCCTAACCCTGGGAAATATCCAGGCCAGACAAGACAGGGCAGAAAACAAGACAAATCCTTTCATAGCAATGGATCAGGCGGTTCCAACCCAAGCATGCTACAGTAGAGCTCACTGCACAGAGTTGGGTGTCACTATTCCCAGTGTGATGGGCCTGGGCTTGCACCAATACATGAGCCCCAGAGAGCCAGAGGCTACCACCAACTTGAGCCTCATGGAATTGAACATTATATAGTCCAATGACAAGGACTTAGGCACTGGGGAAGAAAAGAGGAAACTAGGATTCTATTCACAAAAGTCACAGTGACTTTAGTGGCCCCTTGTCAAATGTGTGCGATCTTGACAATGCAGAGATAGAAATTACATTTGGTCTCTGAAGTTGGAAAATACCCAAGTGTTCAGGTCAGTCTCCCCTTCCACACAGGGCCTCTAAAGTAGGGGCTGGGGCTCACCCCCAAACTGTGGCTCCCTGAACTGGGACTTCTTAGAGCAAGTATCCCCTTTGGGCAAAGCTCCATGCCAGCCTTCCACACCAGGGCTTTGCCAAGCTAGGAGGTCCTGAGTGGGAGGCCTGCTTCCTCTTTCTGATGGGGCGCCCCCTAAAAGCCAACTTTGGACTCAGCCTCCAGAGGGCGCCAAAGGGACAGTTCTTGAGGTTTAGGGAGGAGACCTGTGTCTCCTGACCACACAAACGGTCACAGCTGAATGAGCCTGAAAGCTGGCCAGTCCATTCCCACCTGACAGAGGAGAGGACTAAAGTTCATGGAGGGTGCTCCAGATGAGAGGCAGAGCAGGGCTGTGTGTGGTGTGGAGAGCAGCCTGGTCTACTCTGGTCGATTTCCCTATCCTAGGGCCCCAGGTGAAGATATGCAGCCCTCCAAGCCAGGAAAACTTGATTTGGGGTCAGCTGGATGTTGGGGGAGAACTCGGGAAGACCCTCTTCAGAAGTGACCAATACTACAAACCCCCAAATAAGTCCTTGGTTCTGATGAGAAAACAAAGGCCCAGAGAGAGCCAGTAGCTTGCCTGAAGTCACTCAAAATTCAGTGGTGGAGCCAGAACTGGAACACCGTGTTCCTAACACTCAATCTTGGGCAAGCAATGCTGAGGAGGCACCACTGTGGCTGCCACTCGGCAGGGATGGGTCCCAGGACAGCTCACACACTGGAATCCTTCAGCTTCTTTTCTGGCCTTGACATTAATGGTTGTTGCTGTAGGCCAGGGCTAGGCCCAGCTGCCTTGGTCTCCACCTCTTTGTTCTGCTGCCTCAGGATGGTCAAAACCAAGGCAAAGCACACCAGTGAGCCAGTTTTGAAGAAGAACTGGATACCAATGAATCTGGGGAAGAAGAACAGGGGACCTTGAGCTGAGGAGCCCAGATCCAGGGTCTGGATGTCCTTGGGTGGGCAGCGAGTGGAGTTAGTGGACATTATCCTTTGTTCAGTTGGACACTTTGAGGTTGGGGATCACTGACCCTGTTGGGGTCCTTCCCTGGAAGAGGGGGATGGAGGCTCTGCAGAAGGATCTCAGGGCAGGGGCAGAAGCCCGTTCCCATGCTCTGTTCTTGACTATGATATGACCTGGCCTGGCTCTGCCTCTCTCAGGGCTCAGGGGGCCTGGCAAGCACCTTGGGATGGTCCCATCCTCCACCAGGAACACAGGATTCTCCATGCCCTGTTTGCTTAACTCACCAAGGCCCTTTGTTTGACTTTTCCTCCTCTACAAAGTGCCACCCCCTCAGCAGTCCTACCCATGGGAACTGTGTCCTCCTTCGAGCTGGAAGTGACCTGTTCCCTGACCCTGGCACTGCTAACAAGTCCTCCCCACATCTATCCTGGGCCAGTGGCTTCTGAGCTTTCAGGGTCTTTTGAAGAATCTGATGGGAAGACTGAGGCCCAGGCAGGCAGACAGGGCTTTCTTCCAGCCTTCCCCTAGTCTTACAGCTGGGCTGCTCTCGAATCTCCCCAGGTCCCCAAGTCTACTCTGTGATCAGAGAGCTCGAGACCAGGCCCAGCTGTCCAAGTTGTTAGCTGTGTGACCTTGGGCTGCCTACTTGAGCTTTCACTTTCCTCATCTGTGAAAGAGCAGAACAGTGTCCAGCTCACAGGACTGGGGAGCTCAGCACTGGAAACAGCACCTGTCACCAAGCAGCTGCGCTGAAATGGGACCTCTTTCGCCACTGGTGTCCTGCTTCCAGCACCCTTCCCACAGCCCCTGTCCAAGTCTCACCGGTTTCGGAGCAGGTCAAGGTCATAGTAGCGGCACACAGCTCGACGCCCACAGCTCAGGACCCAGTGCACACAGGTGGTGTCAATGGCGCTGCCATGGATCACAGGACTTGGCATCCAGGCTGGGGGAGGAGGTGCTCAGGGGACAGCGAGGCCGCTGGGTCAGCCCCAGCCTCCCTGCAAGCCCTCAAGGGATTCAGGCTATAGGGGCTCTTGGCTCAGGAATCTGGTCTCCAGCCTGCCCCTTACCAGAAGGAGCTTCCCTCTTAGGTGGCCCAGCCTCTATGTGCACACCCACCTCCCGACACCTGCTGCCCCCACACCTATTGGCCCAAGGTCAGGGACTAGTGTCCATTCAGGCCTGTGGCTGCTAGGTCTGGTACACAGTGGGCACCTGGACCCCCATCACCACCACCTAGGGGCCCAGCCAGGCCCTTTACCCAAAACTCTCAGGAGCATGAACTGGATGCCCACAGCCAAAGTCTTGTCTTCTTTCTTCACGCCCCTTAAAAGTAGGGACACAGGGACATGAGGACCAAGAGGGCCATACAGCAGTGTGGAGTCTCCCCACACCCTTCTCTCCCACTGTCCATGCCAGCCTCCCCCAATCTGAAGGTCTAGCCTCGGGGCTCAGGCCTGTACTCCATCCCTTCTCAACCTGCAGAGCCCACACCCACTGACCATCAAAGTCCTGTGCCACCCTCCCTATGTCCCCCACCACAGACACCACCCTTGTTCTTCTGCTTCCTGGCCCCACCAAATTCTCTTCTTCCTCCTACACTTGGAAAGACTGGGAGCTAGGACAGTCAGTTACCTGCTCCAGCTTCTCCAGCACTGTGACATCATGCCCTGGGATGCCCCTCCAACTGCTGACTCCTCCCAAACAATGGCAAGCACTTGAGGAGCACTTCCTATGGGCTCAGCAACTCTACACTCTACCCATACTGCCCTCCTAGGAGGTCACTGTACCATTAGCCCCATTTCACAGGCAAGCAGACTGATACCTAGACAGGCTCAGTGACTTGGCCAAGGGCTCATGGCTCAAGAGCTGGGACTCATGATGCCCACAGTCTACATTCTCAGTTCCCTGTGGCATCTGATCCTTTACTTCCTCTCTCATGTCAGCATCTTTCATAGATTCTCACATCTTCTAATATTCCTGGGGGCTCCATTCCATTCTAATTTTTTTAGAAAGTAGATGGTGAATAAAATAAACCCAGCAGATTGGAATTATCTTGCTCTGAAGTCTTCTTGTCCCACCCCTATCCCAGGAGATCCTGACTTTGGACTTGGGTGACGATTTTTCAGACCCAGCAGGTACTCTTGAAATAGGAGGCACAAAGATCTTGTATCAAGAAGTAGTACTTGGCATGGGCTGAGTCCTCAGTGGGCACTTAATCCTCCATGTCGCCTTGAAAGGCACGGAGGCTGGGGGCCACTTGAGTCCAGTTTGTTCCCTGGAGGCACCTCTGTGGCTCAGCCATTGCAGGTGTGGTGAGGAGCTCACCTTCTCCTCACCATATGATGCCCTCACTTGGGCAGGACAGGACAGGGCTGTACGTGTAGCCTCCTCTCCTGGGGTGGGGGTGGGGGATGAGTTTGAGGGACTGGGCTCTGGCTGGAGCACTAGTCCTAGCTGGCACTTGCTCTATGACTTGGGCCAGCTCCTGAACTTCCCTGAGCCTCTGTCTTCTTGTTTACAAGACAGGGAGAAAACTATCTCAGCAGGATGCCAGGGGGAAAAAACCAGGTCAGGGAGGGCCTGGTCTGTCGTGGGTGCCCAGGCCACTTGAGTGGCCTCCTTCCTCTGGCTCCCTGCTTGGAATTTCCGAGCTATAGTTGAGGGCCTCTTGGTATTCCCCCACCCCAGCCCTGCTTTCACCTTAGGATGAGCATAAAGGTGGGTGTGTAGGTGACACTGGCCAGTGCCGCTCCCAGGCTGACCAGGAAGATGAAGGGCAGCACCAGGTGGCTGCAGGCTGAGTCGCAGGAGCTGGCGGGCACCAGGCCTCCCCCAACCATGCAGCTGCAGTTGCTATAGAAAACCTGGGGAGGAGAAAAGGGGGAGAAGGGCCTCAGGAGCCTCCAGAGAGGCAGCTGCTAAGGGCCTGTGACAGAAGGCTCCAGACGGGCCCCATGGCCCACAAGCCAGCTGAGGTGGATGGCTTGAGGAGGTGCCTGGACACAGGCTGCCCTGCACAACCTGGGCTGAGCCAGTCCTCCAGCCATGGAGGGTAGAGAGATAAGGGAGAGGGACCTGGAAGAGCACCACCCCCAGCCAGATAGGACACATCAATGGCAAGGAAATGTCTTCAGTGCACTTGATTGCAGCCTGTGTTCATAGTCCTTGGTGGCAGGGAAAACCTCCAGCCAAAGATTCTTTGAGAAGAAGTTCAACCACCAGTGCCCTCAGATATCTATCAGGAGCAAAGCCAAGCCAAGAGCCTGGGCTTCACTCATCTGTCAAAGAGCTTTCTAACCTGTGCACTGCAGCCACTGGTGCTTTAGATGGAGACAGGGATTGGTCTCATCATCTCTCAAGGTGGCCCCGGGGCAGCTGGAGCCCTCTGGGCTTGTCACCTCCACTCATGGGAGCCTCAGAAACTTCCCAGGGTGAGAAGGCCTGAGGTGGAGCCTGGGGATGTTGGAAGGATTTTAAGCATGGCAGAGATGAGTCTTGATAGTCTTGTGTACATGTGCTTTGGCAACAGGTTGGAGGACGGATTGGATGGGGAGGCCCGCAAAGAGCCCCACTGTGGGTTGGAGTGGATGGGTAAAGGGGTTTTGATATGAAGTGATTTAGGTGGTAAAGGAAGGAAGGGGAGAAGAGGGAGGGGGGAGGGAGAGGAGAGGGAAAGGAGAGGACAAGACAGGACAAGAGAAGACAGAACAGGATAGGAGAGGAAGGAGAAGACAGGAGAGACTTAGCCTTTGGCAGCTTGACACTTTGCACTGCCCAGCAGAGCTGATGTGTGTAATGGGGCTGAACTGCTGTGTGTGTGAGCCAGGTACACACCAGTTCATATTGCAGGACTAGTGGATTTTGGGCCTTGGCTATAGGCTAAGTGACCTGGAGATACAGCAGGGGGACAAGTATTGGAGGAATACCTCAAGGCCAGGTGAGAAACGCCCCAAGGCCAGGGGACTCCTGCTAATGGTCCTTCAGTCTCTCCAGCTGCCTTTGCATCTCTTCCCCCTGGGTGCTCAGCCCCACCCCTAGAGAGCCTGAGGTCCTGCCAGCTCCCAGGTCACTCTCTCATTCTGTTGCTGAATGCAGCTGCGCTGGGTACGGATCAAACCACCCCTGTGGAAGGGTGATCACAGGCAGCCCGAGGAGGCACACGTGGCAAGAGACAATTCTAGGCCAGCCCGAGGTCCTTGAGTGCTGACCCAGTGTCCAAATACTACATCAAATCCAAACCTCTGCAGCCAATCCAAAGGGCAGCTGGGCTGGGGCCAGAGCCTCAGGGTTTTTTATTTTTCTGGTGCTAGGCATTGAACTCAAGGCCTTATTCCACCAGTGGTGGCAAACGCTCCACCACTGAGCTACACTCCCAGCCACTCAGAACCTTGGCTTAGTCATAGCTCTGGTGTGAAGACCTTGAGCACTGCGTGGTCCTTTCCTGGGCCTTCATTTCACCTCTGTAGAATAGGAGGGACTACTTAAATCTCCTAGGGCCTCTGCCTGCCCCTGTCACACTTCATGCTTCCAAACACTCTTACTCTCTCACTCACTGGTGCTCTGCCCTCTGTCTCTGTCCGTCTGACTCCTTCCTTCCATTGGCAGATGTAGAACATTATTATCTCAAAAATCTTTCATTACCAGCCTGGGTCCAGAGAGGGGAGCCAGCTCTGGCAGTCTGTATAGAAGGATCCAAAAAGAAATCACTTGTAGAAAGCCCAGGGTGCTGGTGTGAAGAAGTGGTCCCTGTGGGTACAGAATGGGATGGAGGGAGGCCCACGCTGAGGGGCCCGGATGGCTGCAGGGGAGGCAGCATTCTTCCAGATCTTTGAAGATGAATGGGTAAATTAAGACCTGGAAATGAAGTGATTTCTGGGCAGGGGGAACAGTATATGCAAAGATTTGGAAGAACATGTGTATGTGTGTATACACAAACACGTGTGTGCATGCACACAGACACACACAGTGTTTCAAGTAACTGCAAAAGTCTTGTTAGAGAAGCTACATGAGGGTTCATGGAGCGAAAGGAAGACCCAGACAAGGAAGGGCCATGAACACCAGGGAAAGAGAGGACTGCAGAGCGGTGGGGAGCCATGGCTGGGCTTTAAGCAGGGGTATAACAGGATCACACGTGCTCTATCTGTCTACTTGAGGCTGTAGTGTGGAAGAAGGCAAGCCGAGTGCAGAACAGGAGAAAGAGAGCAGTGAGGAGGCTGGCACAAGCCCACTCAGTGAGGCAGTGAGTCCGTTGACAAAAGAGTCACTCAGCCTCTCTTCTGTGCCAGGCCCTGTGTGGGGCTGAGAACCCACAGCCAAGGGGCTCAGCCCTGAGAGGGTTCCCAGTGGGGTGATGAGACCAGTGTTGTGAGCAGCAGTGCACTCTGCTGAGCCCTGCGAGGCAGAGGTTGTGCCAGAAGCCTGCCTCACCTTGCTTTTATCCAGATCTGCCTGGACCACCTGGGCCGTGCAGCCAGCATGGCAGGGCGTGATGTACTCTACACGGGCGCTGGTGTCACAGACTGGGTTGAAGCCATCGACTGGGCAGGAGCAGGCTGCCATGCAGCCTGGAAACAGCTCTGCTCTTGGTTGCATGCTGGTGAAAGAGAAGGCAGCAGGGTTGGTCCAGCTCTCCTCTCCCAGCCCTGCAGCCTGGCTCCTAGCCCAGAGAGTGGGGGCCAGAACTTTGAAGTGTCCCCCAGGGAAGGTTTCACTGTCAGGGCTCCCCATGCGGGCGGTGTGAGCAGGGAGATGGACTGAAGCTCAGGAGACCCTTGACGCAGAAGCAGGGAGTCTGGGCCATGGCCAGAGCCCCCAACAGACCAAGATCCTGGACATCTTTGAGCTGCTTCTGCAAAGGCTCCTGCTCCCCAGTGGCTCTTGTGTAGGGAACTCAAGGAAAATTCCTCCTGGAGTTCGGTGTCAGATGAAGAGGGCTTTCTTTCCAGGAGTTGGGTTGCTCCCTCGTCTCAGAACAGTCCAGAGGATTCAGCCAGGGGACCTGATCAGCCGTGGGATCTCCCACCTTCTCCTGCCTCCCTCTGGGCCTTGGTTTCTGTCGGCTAGGCTGGGGCTCCTTCTCCCCGTTGCTCTCCTGCAGTCTCATGGCCTCTCTGCCCTACCTACTGTCCTGCTCACCGTGTTCAATGTCACCTTCCTCCCTCCAGGGGGCTGCTCTCAAATCCCAGGGTGCCCCTACTCCCTTGGCCAGGGCAAGGAGGGTGGACAGGGGCAGGAGGTCAGAGAGAGGCCGAGCCGGAGGGGCAGATCACCCTGAGAGGGGGCTGGAAGGTGGTCCCTGGGACACAGGCTGAGACTTGGCTTCATGCTAGGTGGGAGCACAGCACACCTGCCAGGAGACAGAGGCCCAGAGAGGCTGGTGCAGGGTCACAGGTGCCAGTGGCCACATCGTATAGGAGGGGCCAGTAGGGGAAGCTGGGAGACTCCCCTCTTGGTTTGGAGATGGGCACACAGCAGAGGCATGGGCTGCTGGAGAGCCTGGCAAGCTTGGTATACACTCAGTTCTGTGCGCAGGAGGGGTGGCAGGGGCTAGGGAGGCTGGGAGAGGGACAGTGCTGAGATGGCTTGGAAAGCTTGGTGGAGGGGCAGAGGGGCACATGGCAGAGGCGAGCTCCTCGCTGCCTAGGGCAGGGGTCCCGTCTCCCTCTCTGAGTGGGGACAAAGATCATCAAGATCATCACCAGCACAGCCTTCCCCTTCTCCCTGCCAGACAGTGCTCCTGGGTCTGATTCAGTCCTGGGGAGTCTTCCATGGGAAGGGGCACAGGCTGGCACTGCCTGAGCTGTGGGCCCATCGGGAGTCTGTACCAGGTGAACCTGCCAGAAGAGAGGCACTTCCCAGAACCTTCTGCCAGCAGCTGGAAGACCAAGCATATGAGAGAGCTGGTGAGGGGCTCTTCCTTAGTTCTTCCTCTCTCCTTGACCACATGGAGCTGGCTGCTTCTGTGCGGAGAGTGCTAGCCCAGGCCCTGGTGGGAGACTTCACCTCCCTGAGCCTCACTATGCTCATCTGTAAAATGGGCACAGGGGACTCAGGGCTGGGGATTTGGCTCAATGGTTTCGCTGCCTGCTGTGCAAGTGCAAGGACCCGAGTTCGATCCCCAGTACCAAAACAAAATAATGGGCACAGGGGACTCAATAAGATGTAATAGGGGAAGTGCTAGGCCTGGGGTTGGGTTCATGGGAGACCTTCCATTTTCTGTCTGTCTGTGTCACTAGCTTTACAGAAATATGAGGATCTTCTTGACCTATTCAACTAGTCCCCCAAAAGCTTCTTCAATGAATCAGAACCGAGAGTCTGGTGAGTGAATTGCAAGAATGAAAACAAAGGTGAGCTGTCAAAGCTGAGGAGTGACAGGGAGGCGATGTTGGGCAGGACGAGTGGGCTGACTTTTCCCACTTACTTGAAAAAATGGAGGTAAAATATCCATTTACTTTTTACTCAAAAATCATTGAAAGGACCTGGGTCTCTCCTCGGGCTAGGGACTTCCCAAGGGCATAGCTGCAGGGCTGCAGAAAAGCCCACTCCAGGCAGCCAAGTTGCTTCCTTGTTCTGGAAAAGGAGAGGGGCCAGGGAAAGGAGGAGAAATGAGGCAGGGTAGAGGAGGTCCCGGGGCGAGACCTGGGGGGACCTGGGTCCTGAGCCAGGCCTGCAGCCATGCAGAAGGAGCCCCGGGTGAGGAAACTGGCTCGTGGGTGGAGAGGAAGCCGGGGAATAGGTGGGGGAGAGGAAGCTGGGGAATTCTAGCTGCATGTTAGGCTGACCTAAGCCTGGAGTCATTTCCAGGAAAAATGAGATCATTCTGGCGTAGGGGCAGGGATGGAACTTCCAAAAACTTCTCCAAGATGCTCCCAAGGGGAGGGGGTGTGTTTGTTGAGTGAGGGCAAGTAGAAAGCCTCAGGGAATCTTTCTCTATGGCATTACCTCAGAGACAAGGATCAAGAATTCTGGAACAACAGACTTTTAGTTCTCAGTCTAAGAGCCAAGAATCTCAGAATACTCCAGTCTACCCCTTCTCTTGCCCAACTCTCCTCTGCAGCCTGTGTGATAGGAGCCACACAGGCCCTGCTCACCCTCTCTCCTGCCCCAGCTCCCCAGAGATAAAGCTTGTTCTCTCTTCCAGGCAGACCTAACCTCTGCCTGGGAGCAAAGGCTTTGTCTGCCTGAGCTGGGTCCCGTCTCCTACAATGTGGGCTCTGTCTTACTTCA